GAAATAAACAAACAGGAAGGAGTTTGAAGTAGAGCAATAAAAATGATGAAGGGGCTGGCTCTGTTTACAGGAGGAAAGATTAAATGAAGCAAACCCCTTAGGAGGTTGGGCCCCGACTCTGAGTGTGGGGGGAGATGGGTGATTATTGCTTTGAGTAAGAGGAAGGCAAGTAAATGGAGACGCGGTGGGATAAAAGAGCCAGAATGGGGGGCTCAGGAGTACATGGGGACACATCCACACAAAGACTTGTACTCGTGTGTGCACAGCAGCTTTATTTACAATAGCCCCAAAGGGAACTCACCCAAGTATCCACCCACAGGCGAAACAATGAGCAGATTGTGCTATAGCCACACAGTGGAATACTATTCAGCAATGAAAAGGAGTGAACTAATTCAAGCAATGGCATGGATGAATCTCAAATGATGCTTAGTGAAAGAACCCAGACCAAAATGCGTTTATACTGAATTATTCAATTTATATGAAATGCCAAAATGCAAACTAATCTATTGCAACAGAGAGCAGATAAGTGGTTGCCTGGGGACAGGAGTAGGAGAAGGAAAGATTACCAAGTGACATGAGGAAAGTTTTGGAGGTGGTGGATAGGTTTATTATCTTAATTGTGATGATGGTTTCACCTGTGCATAGATACGTCAAGACTCCTAAATTGGACACTTTGTATGTACAGTTTACTCTATATCAATTGCACCTCCATAAAACTTTAATAATAATAATAAAACAACCTTCATACTGAGGAGAATGGGCTTGCTGGAGAGAGCTCCCTAAAAAGGGAGATGAGATAGTTTCATTTGAATCTGTGCAGCTGAGCCACCAACTTGACCTAAGAGAACTTCTCAGGTCAGCTTTGCCACAAAAGGCTCTGCTAGAGTCTAGTAATGCAAAAGGAGAGATGGGAAGGAAAAAATCACTGAAGTGGAGGGCTAGATTTGCTATTTGGGTGCAAAAATCTTATTAGCACCCAAAGGTTTGTGGGTAAAATGTTAAAATCTTATTTGCTCGGCACCTGATTCTTTTAGACTTGGCCTCATTTTCTGTAGGACACTGGGATCTCACTCTGCCCAATCTTCCCCTCTCAGACAGCAGGGATGGGAGAGAGGGGGACACTGTAGGGATAACTCTGAGCCGATGGTACCCATTCCTGACTCCATTTCTGACTGGGGAGGTAGACAACCCAGCCTGACGACCAGGCTAAGTTCCACCATCCTGAGTGCTTAGAACCTTTGAAAATGAATGAGGCTGAACATTCCTGAAATTCAAGAGAAAAGAGTCTCTCTCAGATCCTGGGAGGAAGGGTCAAGAGTCCTTAGGACCTGGTTCTTTCTTTTACTTCAGAATCTAGACCTGTCCTTGGCTGGAGGAGTCCCCCTGCCCCCCTCTCCTCTTCCGCCCCACTCCTCTGTGTCCTCCACATTCCTGAGGCCCTAGACAATGTCCCCAGGTATCAATCAAGTGTTCAGCATTTTCCAGGTCCCTTCCCAAACTCTAGCCTTTATGATGATAGCTTCTATCAGCGCTGCCCTGTGCCCTTGGTTTCAGATTTCCCTCACAGGAGCAGGAGTTAAAGTGAACACTTTCTTTTATTTTATACTATAGGACTGTAAAATGGGGCAATTTTTGAGTCTTGCCCTATTTTAACCATGCCAGGAAATTTGAGTTTGGGCCGTCAGAACCTAAAGATACTCTGCTGACAGGACATATAAAAAGTAGCTAGCAGCCTTGGCAGAATTTCTCACCAAGCCATCTGCATCGAAATCGCCTGGGGGGCTTGCTAGCAAGGCCAGTTCCCAGACCCCATCCCAGACCTCAAGAACCAGATAATCTGGGAATCTGATTCTGATGCACTGAGATAACACAGGAGACCCTCTGCTTTAAGGGGACAGATTCTCTTTGCTCTTTCTTTCATATTTTATTCTTGCCATGTTTTGTTTCTTTGGAGTATGTGGGAGAAATTCTTAAGAATGTGTAACAGGCACAGACTTGTGTTCCTGGCCTTAGAGTGAGATGAGGAGAGGTAGGTGGGGCTGGCAAGAGGTGTGCCAACGCAAATATTGTCCCATCAGGACCTGGCAATTTTGCCTGGAGGCTCACAAGGATATGCCCTTTGCTAGAGAATGTGGCTTGGTTCCCCCTGCTCCAGGCTGAGGAGTCAGGTATCATGGGAAAAGGCAGAGATCAACGGTGTTGTTTGGGAAGGCTAGAATGGGAGAGGAAGAACTGGGCCAATTCCAGGGGATTGCTGGAATTCCCCTGGCTCCAGAAGACGGTGTCTGTTGGTAACCCAGGAGAGAAGAGACCCTCAGAGGGGAGAGGAGTGGAGGCAGGTGAGACCTTAACTTCACTCAGGGCCTGAGAACTATACCAGGTAGGGAGAACTATACCAGGTGATTCTTTATTGTCCTTAATTTTGGGTGGTCAGAAATGGAAGGGGAGCCAAAGCTTGGGAACTCCAGGACACCAAATCTATTGTACCCATCTGACCAATGGATGGTGGTGTCTGATCAAGTCACAGAAGACTCAGGGTTGGAGGTAATGCTTCCATTCAGTGATCCATCCATTGCTCTCCCAGGCAAAGACTCAGCCAACACCCTTCCTGCCTCATGCACAAAGCAAGTCAATCAGGTTGACTCCTACTTACCCTTCCCAACTCAATTTTTCCACCTTTCCTACGCCCCAGGGTGGGTTGGGTGTCCTCTGTGCTCCCATAGAGCCCCATGATTAACCATATTATATAACATAATACCGTGCTATAATTTTTGGCTTACCTCTCTGTCTCCCCAAATGACAATCTGCATTGCTGTTGTGGCCTCTCAGAATAGACAGATGCTCACTAGCCCGAAGGATTGCTCTAGTCATTGAGTGTGGACCCTCATGGCGTGGGGCCAGAGGAACCTAGCATCCCAGGCCTCCTACAAAACAGGTACAGACTTGGTCTGGATGGGAACCTTAAACACCAGGCCAGCCTCCTGCTCACTCTGTCTCATGTCCCCGGAAGCTGCCAAGGATGGCAGTTCCAGCTGGCAAGTAATGAGATTTCTTCCTGGAAGGATTCTTGGCTTGAGAACTGGCCCTCGTCTCTCCTAAGTTTCTTCAACACCCTCAGGTTTCTGGGGACATGGAGGATGGGAGGGAGAGGCTGAGTCAGCTCCAGCTTTTACTGCTTCCCAAAACCCTGTGCCCAACCCTTAACTCCTGCCAAGTGCATATGGCAAGAATTCCCAAGGACATAGATTTTCCCAGCCCATGGTAGAGATGGG